ATGCACCCCCCGCCTCCCTTGAAGCTCATGAGGTCTTCTCTCTGTCTCTCTCCAACTGCCTCTGAAGTCTTGGTGGCCATTATCTCCCTTTTTTCTCTCCTTCCTTCCCCTCTTCTCTAGGGAACACCAGGGAAAGCCCCGAACCCATGTTTATTGCATCTTAGCATTAACGTCAGGTGCAAAAAGCAAGATATTGTTTAACCTCCCCCCTTAAATCAGCATGGGTACCAAGCCCCGCTCTCCCCTACACCTCTGCCCCCTCCCTGCCAGTCCAAGCAGACAAACACATAACACGTGCAAGTGATTCACTTTGTTTGTACAGGCGCTTTTGATCTCTCTCTACTTTGATTTTCAGTGTTTGGTTTTGACAAGGAAAGGAATAAAAAAGCAACTGCTTTCTGTGACATTAATAGAAGGGTTTTCTGAAGTGGTAATTTATTTGTTCCTTTACTGATACCGTTCTGCTGATCTGTGAAAATTCTTGGCACGAGAAGCAGGATGGAGTTGCAGAGCGCATCTAACCATCACTGTAAAAGATTTTAGCGGGGGTTGGAGTGATCCCCGCTGCTGTTCGCTCGGAGAACGGTTTGCTTCGAGAGCACTGCAAGCAAGGAGGACTGTGAGAAGAGTGTAAGTGTGCATATGCACATGCATGGGTGTGTTTGTGTGCAACAGAAACAGAGCACTCACTACCACCGGAAGACAGCGTAATTTCAGAGAAATGACACCGGGGAAGACTTGTTATTTTAATACTGGCTAGGCAGTTTGTATGAACAAGAAAAAAAAAACACCACCTCTGAGTGTCTTAAATGCAAAATGGTACAAAATGGAGCAAGTCAAAGATGCACCAGATGGGGGAAAAAAAGCAGTGCTGCATTGCACTGGAGAGTCCTCTGCCATGGGAGATCCATGTGAAAGCTTCAGCATCTCTTTAATGCAGATCTGCTGCAAAATACATATGGAAGTATCAGGGTCCCTAAGCGGACGCTTTCTGCCTACAAAAGAGGCTCACCTACAGCAGCCAGAAGGAGCGAGGGCCATGCAAGAGGACAGCCACCCCTGAAGCAATGGAGCAAAGGTGGGAGACCGCATGGCTCAGAGGACTGGGAACCATACAGCAACCAGGCCCCTGGTGATCTGAATGCAGCCCAGGTGCTAGTGACTACGGTGACTGATTTAACCGTGTTTAGTTCCTCTGCATGTGTTCACAGGGCAAAAACCACCTGCGCCACTGACACGGACCTTTGCCGTCAATAAAAAGCCAAGAAATGAAAGGGCTTCAAAAAGCCCCAAGAGGTCAGGAAGGAGAAAACGTTGGTTTACAAATACCACGCCGCTCATGCATGCCACATTTGTTCCATGAGTGAGAGCGCCTCAAGGCTACAGGTGCAGCACGCCCTCCAAAAGAAATCAGTGTGTTCACAGCTTCTGTAGGACACAGAGCGGTGAGGAGTGCCAACACCATGCCCCTGCCTGGTGGGAAGTGTGACGAGTCTCGAAGAAGCGGAAAAGCAAAAGCAATTTCACCAGGGGCAGGAAGAGCAGATGCTGGGATGTGGAATCAGCAGCAGCACGTGATGGGACCGCTATCCCAGGCAGGCAGAAGGGATGGCAACCTGAAAACACGGCTGTTTATCTGCAACCTGGTTTGGGGACTTGGCGCACTGCTGCTCCTCCTTCCAGCTACAAGGCTTAGTGCGGTTCTTCTTGCAGAATTAAGCTCAATATGACATTAAGATGCTAGGAAATTATGTCTGGAGATGAAGGAAATAAAATGAATTCTGAGCAGCAGCTAAACCCATATTGATTTTTATGTGTACATTTCTCTATCATCATTGCTAAGCCAGTGACACTGTGAAGGGCACAATTATTTATGTTCCACCAAATTAGTAAGTAATTCAAACCCCTGACAAAAATCTCAGGCAAAAATTGCTTCCACTTCCACGGAAAGTCTCTTTGACATTTAAAACGTTCACCTGCCCCTGGAAGGGCACTTAAACTGTACGAGGACTTTACAGGAAGAATGTATATCAGTAGTCTCAATATTACCCCTGCATTAGAACAAGGCTCCCAGTTATCTCACGTGGGTGAGGGCTGGCTGCGTACTCTGCTTTTGTACGAGGTTAGTACAGACGAATCCTGCTCCCTGCACTGGGATTTCTAGGGATTATCACAAGGCAAAGAAAGAATCCTGTAAATCATAGTCATAGTTTTGGTTTCCC